GTGACGGCTGCTCCGACTCATCCATCAGCGATGTTCTCCTGGCTCCAAGGTGTGCAAAACTGAGAGCACAGCATAGCTGGAACGGCCCAGATTTCCTATTTTGAGGTTGCAACCACAGTATTTGTGGTGACTTTCTCCTTGAACTGTGCCAGAAATGGGTCCCTGCCTCTGGAGAGCTCTGAGTGGATCAGGAGACAGCACACAGGCAATGATGACCTTACTGTCCCCCCTCTTTGAGAGCTGTCACCCTGTTTGTTCCCCTGGGTGTGGGAAGCAGCAGGCACTGCCGTAAAAAGGCTCCTTTGGTGAATATTGGGGCTGACCCTTAAAGGTGATGGAACAAGTTCCACCTTGGATCCACCCCCAACCTGGGTGGGTTGGGTACATCATTTTTTTGTGGGGCTGCTGGAAGCCCTGGCATCACTCCCCTGGTGCACAGGGCTCCCTGCTCCCAGTGCTGGAGGCAGAGCCTAAAGCTCCGATGCAACAATCCATTTTTCTTCCCCTTCCCGCTCAGTTGCCAAGCCTGAACAAAACAAGCCCTGCCTCCACCCGAGACAGGCTGATTACGTCTGCCGGCAGCCTAAACAGATTATCCCTCCCGCCACGCGCTCCGGGCCAGGAGTCTCTCCCAGCAATGGATTCGGGCTTCCCTCAGAACGTGTGGGGTGGGTGGGCAGAGGCTGTGGGGGCCTCCCAGCCCACCCAGGTGTGCAGCACCCCAGCAGGGATGGGGCTGCTCTGCTGTGGGATTGAGTCTGGACCCTAAGAGGGGATGTGGGTGTTGGTGCAGCTCTCCTGTTCCACCCTGTGCAGTGAGCTCCTGCAGCGCTGTGGGGCTGGCACCGTGTGGCTCTGCTGGGTCCTGCGTGCCTGGCTGGTTTGTGTGGGGAGGGAAGAGCTGAAGGCACCATCAAAAACACAGGAGGTGTGAAAGCCTGTCCGACAGGCAGCTGGTTGGTGTCACAGCCCACCTCCAGCCCTGTGGCACTCCATGGGCTGCCACGCTCCTGTGGCCCATCCTGCCCTCTGGAAGCAGGTGCCCTGTGGCCCTGGGGGTGTGCAGGGGTTCCTGTATCAGCCTGGGCTCTGGGAAGTGATGAGTGGCTCTGCACGTCCTTCAAGCCCAGTTCCCCATCTGCTGGGATTGTTTTCCCAGTGCTGGTGGAGCTGGTTGGGGTGGTTTGTCCATGCCTGGGCAGCATCAGCACAGCAGCCTGACAGCTTTGTGTAAACCCAGCTGGGGCCGCTTCCTTCTCTGCTTCCTCCCACCCGCCGTGCTGCCGGCGCTGGGCTGGAGGCAGCGTCCTCCCCCTGCCTGCACTGTGGGCTCAGGGGATGGAAGCAGTGGCTTTCACAGCCACCTGAGAGGCAGCTGAGGTGCTGGTGTGCCCCACAGCCCTGCTCCAGTGTCGGATCAAAGGTGGGATCCGATACCTGGGCACTCCCAGAGGTGTGACAGGAAGCGGAGCGGTGACGTGGGGGTGTTTCTGCCTGAGTCAGCCTGCAGCAGTGCCAGGGATGGACTGGGCACTGTGGGGCTGCAAACCGGCCGCGCCTCTCACCTGATGGTGGGGTGAGCGTCACCCCACCCCAGCCCCATCAGCGGCCGCTCTCCACTCTGCTCTCCCACAGCATTTTGTGGCTCACCCTCCGGCCAGGTACCTTCTGGATAAAAGCAAAGCCACCCACCCAGTGCCTGAGCACCCTGTGTGGCTGCTACCTGTGGAGAAACTACGTGGAGCTGCCCTTTGAATACCACCGGAGCTGCCAGGAGGCAAGCAGGGCCCTGCGTGGTCAAAGGCATCCTGGGAACCCTGGGGTTGTTTCTAACACCATCCTAGGTGTGAAGTTGGACAAATATCCTTGGAAGAAGGAATTTTTGCTCGGAGGTCTTGCTCAGTGCTGGTTGTTGCATTTTCTTCCTCTTGAGGAGCTTTCCAGAGGAAGCCAAGCCAGTGGAAAGGACGTGTGATTCCAGCTCCATCCTGGTGCTCCAGCACCCTCCGGGACCTGCCTCCCACATCGGGTTTATTTTAAACCTTGCTTCAGCTGGGCCATTCCAATGCAGGTGTGATGAGCTTATTTGAGACACTTCGTGTGCTAATTCATATCCCTTTCATTTAGGCTTGTATCTCTCTGGGCATTTGCTTGGTTTTAGCAGGAGCTTGTTTTGGTTTGGCTTTAAAAAGCGCTGCAGCGTGTTCATTTGTTGATGGGTGGAACCAGGCTGCCCACGCTGCCTGGCTCTAATTCATACCTTTCAGCTATTTTGGTTTCAATATCTGCAATTGGATGCTTCTGCCAAAATAAGTGTAGCCCACTAGTGGTTTTTTTATGATGCTGGTACAGAAATGACCGTGCTCTGTGTTAAGGGTGTATATTTCAGGTGCTCGGTGTTTATTTACAGACAGTTTGAGCTAAAATTGGAATGGCTGAAGGCAAATTAATGTCTGCTGGGGGGTGAGAGCCAGGCTGAGGTAGGGCAGGATTTCATGCCTGTAATACTGGGTTAAGGCTGCTTGCTGCTGGCCCTGGTGATGATTCCCCTGTTGGTTTCACAGTTATTTTGTCCCTGGTGTGTCACTGGGACCTGCCTGCTGTTTGTCACACAGGCTGGATGCTGTGGGGTGCTCGGAGTGGCTGTGGTGGCTGCAGTGCTGTGGCTTGTGTCAGGGAGAGTTGTTGCTCATGGGGCTTTGCTGAGTTGAGCACTTGGTCTTGGTTGGGAGCTGTGTTGGGACACAGAGAGGAAAACTGGGGATGGAGGAGAGCTGAGCCCTGCCTGCATCTCGTCTGTCTGGAGCATCGCCAGGGTGTTTGCCCTGGTGTCATGGTGCCATGCACTGGGGCGTGCTATTGTCACTGTCATCCTCTTGTTCCTGCATGGTGGAGGCCACTCCTAAGATCTTTGCAAGCCCCAGCTGCTCAGCACTCACCCCAAGTTCTCTCATGGCAATTCAGGGACTCCATTTCTTGTCACAGTGACCCGCTGAAGGGTCTCTGATGGTTCCTCAGTAGCGATTTGCAATTCTGCTTCTCCCCTGTGAAACACAAGAGACATTTGGGGTGTCTGGCTCTTCCCAGGCCGCACGGGTGGCCGTGGCCACGTCCCAGCACGAAGGGAACATCGGGATCCCTGCAGAGCCCTGCCGTG